GGCCGAGGCTACTGTTTGTGCGAAAATATCATTACCCGCACCAATTTAGTTTGCCTCCTTTTTATTTATTTTTTTAAATAATTATTTATTTTTTTATATTAGCGACGGTTCAGGCCAACGCTATTGTTTATGTAAAAATATTCATTTCCCATAAAAAATTTTGTTTGCCTACTTATTAGTTAGTGTATTAATTTATTCTTATTTTCTTATATTAGCAACGGTTCAGGCAGACGCTAATCTTTTATTCTAAAATTTTCATTTTCCCCCATGAATTTTGTTTGGCTCCTTTAAACTTATTGTTTTAATTAATTCTTAATTTTATATTAAAAATTAGTAAATTAATAGCTCTTTTAAATTGCTATAAAACAAAACCGTTTACATTAGCGGCATGGTTAATAGTGCTTTTCAGCACTATCAAAAACAAAATATAGTCCAATTAATTAATTTTTATGGCACATTATTTGTTGCTTTATTTTCTCTTTTATAGTTTGTTTACCCTTTTGTACATAAGAGATCACTCTTCTTTGTCTTTATTAGAATCTTCATAAGAGGAGCATACGCCTAACTAGTCCTTTTCCTCCATTTCACTACAAAAGTATATAGCACGAATAAAACTAAAGTTCAAGAGAGAAGGTGAGCATTCGAATGATAACTTATACAACATGCTTCCTAGGACTAAGAACATAGGGACATACATTTAATCATTCCTTCTTGACTACTTAGTGCACGTGTCCTTCGAGTGCATTTGATATGAAAATTCTTTGATTTCAAGAAAAAATACTTAGTGTTAAACAAGCTTTTATTTGGACCGATGCTACTGTTTGTGCGAAAATTTCATTACCCCCACCAATTTAGTTTTCCTTCTTCTTTAGTTATTCCTTTAAATAATTATTTATTTTTTTATATTAGGGACGGTTCAAGCCGACGCTATTTTTTATGAAAAAATATTCATTTCCCGTAACAAATTTCGTTTCCCTCCTTTTTAGTTATTATCTTAATTAATTATTATTTTCTTATATTAGCAACAATTCAGGCCTAGGCTATTGTTTATGCCAAAATTTCATTACCCCCACCAATTTAGTTTGCCTCCTTTTTAGTTATTTTTAAAATAATTATTTATATTTTTATATTAGCGACGGTTCAGGCCAACACTATTGTTTATGAAAAAATATTCATTTCCCATAAAAAATTTTGTTTGCCTACTTATTAGTTAGTGTATTAATTAATTCTTATTTTCTTATATTAGCAACGGTTCAGGCCGACGCTACTCTTTTGTTCTAAAAATTTCATTTTCCCCCATGAATTTCGTTTGGCTACTTCAAACATATTGTTTTAATTAATTCTTAATTTTATATTAAAAACTAGTACATTAATAGCTCTTTTAAATTGCTATTAAACAAAATCGTTTACATTAGCGGCATGTTTAATAGTGCTTTTCAGTGCTTTGAAAAACAAACTATAGTCATATTAAATAATTTTTATGGCACATTATCTGTTGCTCTATTTTCTCTTTTACAGTTTGTTTACCCTTTAGTACATAAGAGATCACTCTTCTTGGTCTTTATTAGAATCTTCATAAGAGGAGCATACGCCTAACTAGTCCTTTTCCTCCATTTCACTGCAAAAGTATATAACACGAACAAAACTAAAATTCATGAGTGAAGGTTAGCATTCGAATGATAACTTATATAGCATGCTTCCTAGGACAAAGAACATAGGGACATACATTTAATCATTCCTTCTTGACTACTTAGTGCACATGTCCTTCGCGTGCATTTGTTATGAAAATGTTTTGAAAATTCTTTGATTTCGAGAAAAATACTTAGTGTTGACCAAGAGTTTATTTGGACCGCCGGTACTGTTTGTGCGAAAATTTCATTACCCCCACCAATTTAGTTTTCCTTCTTTTTTAGTTATTCTTTTAAATAATTATTTATTTTTTTATATTAGGGACGGTTCAAGCCGACGCTATTGTTTATGAAAAAATATTCATTTCCCGTAACAAATTTCGTTTCCCTCCTTTTTAGTTATTGTCTTAATTAATTATTATTTTCTTATATTAGCAACAATTCAGGCCTAGGCTACTGTTTATGCGAAAATTTCATTACCCCCACCAATTTAGTTTGCCTGCTTTTTAGTTATTTTTAAAATAATTATTTATATTTTTATATTAGCGACGGTTCAGGCCAACACTATTGTTTATGAAAAAATATTCATTTCCCATAAAAAATTTTGTTTGCCTACTTATTAGTTAGTGTATTAATTAATTCTTATTTTCTTATATTAGCAACGGTTCAGGCCGAAGCTACTCTTTTGTTCTAAAAATTTCATTTTCCCATTTGAATTTCGTTTAGCTACTTCAAACTTATTGTTTTAATTAATTCTTAATTTTATATTAAAAACTAGTACATTAATAGCTCTTTTAAATTGCTATTAAACAAAATCGTTTACATTAGCGGCATGTTTAATAGTGCTTTTCAGTGCTATGAAAAACAAAATATAGTCATATTAAATAATTTTTATGGCACATTATTTGTTGCTCTATTTTCTCTTTTACAGTTTGTTTACCCTTTGGTACATAAGAGATCACTCTTCTTGGTCTTTATTAGAATCTTCATAAGAGGAGCATACGCCTAACTAGTCCTTTTCCTCCATTTCACTGCAAAAGTATATAACACAAACAAAACTAAAATTCATGAGTGAAGGTGAGCATTCGAATGATAACTTATACAACATGCTTCCTAGGACAAAGAACATAGGGACATACATTTAATCATTCCTTCTTGACTACTTAGTGCACATGTCCTTCCCATGCATTTGTTATGAAAATGTTTTGAAAATTCTTTGATTTCGAGAAAAATACTTAGTGTTGACCAAGCGTTTATTTGGACCGCCGCTACTGTTTGTGCAAAAATTTCATTACCCCCACCAATTTATTTTTCCTTCTTTTTTAGTTATTTTTTAAATAATTATTTAGTTTTTTATATTAGGGACGGTTCAGGCCGACGCTATTGTTTATGAAAAAATATTCGTTTCCCGTAACAAATGCCATTTCCCTCCTTTTTAGTTATTGTGTTAATTAATTATTATTTTCTTATATTAGCAACAATTCAGGCCGAGGCTACTGTTTATGCGAAAATATCATTACCCGCACCAATTTAGTTTGCCTCCTTTTTATTTATTTTTTTAAATAATTATTTATTTTTTTATATTAGCGACGGTTCAGGCCAACGCTATTGTTTATGTAAAAATATTCATTTCCCATAAAAAAATTTGTTTGCCTACTTATTAGTTAGTGTATTGATTTATTCTTATTTTCTTATATTAGCAACGGTTCAGGCAGACGCTAATCTTTTGTTCTAAAATTTTCATTTTCCCCCATGAATTTCGTTTGGCTCCTTTAAACTTATTGTTTTAATTAATTCTTAATTTAATATTAAAAACTAGTACATTAATAGCTCTTTTAAATTTCTATTAAACAAAACCGTTTACATTAGCGGCATGGTTAATAGAGCTTTTCAGCACTATCAAAAACAAAATATAGTCCTATTAAATAATTTTTATGGCACGTTATCTGTTGCTTTATTTTCTCTTTTATAGTTTGTTTACCCTTTTGTACATAAGAGATCACTCTTCTTTGTGTTTATTATAATCTTCATAAGAGGAGCATACGCCTAAATAGTCCTTTTCCTCCATTTCACTGCAAAAGTATATAGCACGAATAAAACTAAAGTTCATCAGTGGAGGTGAGCATTCGACTGAAAACTTTATACAGCATGCTTCCTAGGACCAAGAACATAGGGACATACATTTAATCATTCCTTCTTGACTACTTAGTGCACGTGTCCTTCGAGTGCATTTGATATGAAAATGTTTTGAAAATTCTTTGATTTCGAGAAAAATACTTAGTGTTAAACAAGCTTTTATTTGGACCGACGCTACTGTTTGTGCGAAAATTTCATTACCCCCACCAATTTAGTTTTCATTCTTTTTGAGTTATTCTTTTAAATAATTTTTTTTTATATTAGGGACGGTTCAAGCCGACGCTATTGTTTATGAAAAAATATTCATTTCCCATAACAAATTTCGTTTCCCTCCTTTTTAGCTATTGTCTTAATTAATTATTATTTTCTTATATTTGTAACAATTCAGGCCTAGGCTACTGTTTATGCGAAAATTTCATTACCCCCACCAATTCAGTTTGCCTCCTTTTTAGTTATTTTTAAAATAATTATTTATTTTTTTATATTAGCGACTGTTCAGGCAAACACTATTGTTTATGAAAAAATATTCATTTCCCATAAAAAATTTTGTTTGCCTACTTATTAGTTAGTGTATTAATTAATTCTCACTACAACATTTAGGCTCTCCAGCAACAATTGAAAAACGTTGCCAGAACTCTGAAAATCGTTGCCTAAAACAATAGGGGACGTTTTCTAGGCGTCTCCTGTGCGAGCGTTGCCTATTGTTTAAGGCGACGTTTTTTTATGTTTTTTGGGAACGCTTTTGAGAAACGTCGCCTATAGTAAAAGAATAGGGGACGATTATTTACAGCCTCTGAGACAACGTTTTTTAAGCGTTGCGTTGCCAAATTCGGCTACAATTAACAATCGTTGCCTTAAACCTGAATCAGGAAGATCGTTTTTGAAGTGTAGCCATAGCTTATAGGTTGTTGTTTTATAGTGTCCACATAAAATATACAATTTTGCAATTATTATCAAAATAATATAGTCTATAATAATTGGCTTCAAAAATAATATTGATTATATAACTTAAACCATACATCCATAAAAGTTGTAATATAATAAAATCGAGTTCAAACTTTAATTCAAGATATAGTATATAGAGTACACAAAATGCCTAATGTAACAATATTACTTTTAATACTTTGAAGTATGACCCTAGTAAAATAACTAAAAACATAGTTCAGCAAAAGAACAAAAATCATATTTCAAGTTTAATGCTTTCAACTACAAGCCAAAAAAAAGACATCATCCAACTCATTCAAGTTTGTCTTCTAGGAGTAAAGCATCCAGATCGTCCTCTTGAAATTCGTTAGATATGTCATCCTCCATAAATTCTTCATCTACGTCGTCCTCTTGAAATTCACCATCTATATCCTCCTCTTGAAATTCATCATCTAGATCTATGTCGTCCTCTTGAAATTCGTCATCTACGTCGTCCTCTTGAATTTTATCATTTAGGTCGTCCTCTTGAATTTTATCATTTATGTCATCCTCTTGAATTTCATCATTTATATCGTCCTTTTCAACATCTTCATTGATACATTGCTGCATAAGAAAATAAAATAAAACACATTAACCATAAGTATTTTTGGTCCAAAGGACAATTAAGACATCAACAAGAATTAAACCTCGCACAAATAAAAACTAAACCATTCTAAACTGTAATAGGTGACATGAGCTTACTAGCAAATAAATCAATTATGAAAACCATTCTGTTTTTGGCTCACTATTCAGGACTTACAATAGCCTTTAACTGTATGTATGTATGTATAACTTGTGCTATCCTTTTATGTTTATTTTTTGGAGTAAATGAACTCTGATGAACACTCTTACTTGTTGTATCTTCTTTGGTGTTCAGTATCATATGGATAAATTTACAGCATACATAGTGAGTGTTATCAAACAAGGGGGTCCCATAATCTTATGTAAATAATACATTAAATCATTATTATGAAATATGAAACTAATTACCTTTTTCTTCTTCTCTATTTGTGATTGCATCTTCTTCGTTGAATTTTGCCCGATTTTGAACACTTTCTTGTCGAGTTCCTTTTTTTGATTGATTTTGATTAGAGCTACGGTTAATGCTGCTGCCCGGTTTTTCACCATTGATTGACTTGGTTGCATCCATTCCCTTTGACTTGTGAAGATCTACATAATCATCAATCAACATTGATGGGCATTTTGGCACCCTGTTTAGATTTTGAGAGCATTCAGCTTTTGACATCATTGTGTCCAAAGATAGAGTTTTCGGCACAACAACATGAAAACTTAGCAAATAAGTTACATACCTTGCTCTAGTCATGGCCACATTGGTTCTTTGCCGATTTGAAAGAAAACCGACTTTTCCACTCCCATTTGATCTAACAGTAGACATTATTATAATATCTTCCTCTCCACCTTGAAAACCGTCAATAGAACGAACACTCACAGAGAAATCAGTATCAGAAACAGAAGTGTACTCCTTAATTTTGTCCTGGATTGCATAGACTTGAGCATTATATGGAGAGATAACTACAATGCTAACTTTCTCTTGTGTCCTCTTAAACTCTAAAATTAAGAACATACACATATTAATTATACACATATTAATAGAAAACATAACCACAAATGGTAAAGAGAATAATAACCTTTTTTGAGGTTTTTAATCATCTCAGAAATGACAGCAACCTCAACCATGTTCATCAAGCTGTGTCCGCGGCCAGAGCCTCAATAAAGCTTAATACAAATTGTGTGTTTTTTTTTCTTATTAACGTAACTAATTTACCTGATAACTCTCGACATCATTTAATAAACGAGAAATGACCATTAATAGTTTTGTTAATGGTATGGTGTTAGCCTAAGTTTCTTGGTTGGTTTCACAAAACATGAAGATTAAAGCACCATGAGAGATGCACCAACTGAAGTCATGCTTGTTTCGAGGTAACAATCAATAGATGGTTTGTGTCCATTTTTGCTCCAGTTTGCATCTATGAGCCATGACAGGAAAGTCTCGTACCACTTCACAAATGAAATACATCACAGAGTTGATAATTATAATATTTTGTAAATTATAGAAGTTTTGTAACACATACTAGATCTTATAAGTTGCTTGAGATATCATCAGAAGTTCCTTCTTGTTGGAGATATTTCCTAGAAGCTTCACTCACAAGACTATCAAGTGCATCAAATATAACTTTGCTGTGGCTGCTTAGGCCTCTTGCATCCCATCTAATATTTACACAAAATACATATATCATGAGTATCAAACAAATTAGTTGAAACAAATTTTGATTATGTACCTTTGAACTGCTTCTGTGAGGATTTCTAGTTCATTGAGAGAACCAACAGTGTCAAAGAAATCATCATTAACTGTGATTATAATTGCAGTTTTAGCTATGAGTATTCGTACGTAAGAATCATGAGGGACTGATGTTAAACTAGCATTAACAGCAAAGTAACAATAAGTGCTTTTTTCTCTGCCAAATCCCATATTACTCATACCACACTTTTCAACCCACCTACATTTCAAAATCAAATGTATTCTACTAAGATTCTTATGACTAAGTTTCAGGAAAAACTAAAGAATAGAAATTGAACTATACTTCTTAAGTTCCGTAAGCTCATTTTTGTATATCAATTGCTTAAACTCAAAGTTTAGAGTTGCAAGTTGTAGCAATTCATCGTTATAAAGACCTGATACCCTACAAATAAAGTTTAGAGTTGCAAGCTGTAGCAATTCATCCTTGATGATCAAAATGAGAATAAATAAATAGAAGGCATTTGTAATATTTCAAAAATGAGAATATAGTTAGTACAACGGGAAATGACCACAACTGAAATGTTCACTCAAAATCCGTATATATATACATCAGGTGTGTACCTGTTGTATGATGTGTTTCCTTTCCATAAAACACTAGCTTCTGTTTCTTGTATCCACCCTCTATACTCTAAATGATCCAACCGAGCAAACCATGGAAAACTCAACTCGTGCTCTATCTTTTGAAATAAGGCTCCTTTTCCTGTTGAAACGTTTTTCTCAAGTATTTTCCTAGAAAAAGTTCTAGCTTCCTCGAGTTCATATTCTCCACAGAACATTAAGTTTGAGGCTCTGAAGACGTGAAGCATTGCATTGGAGAAGTGCTCGTAATCTCTCTCGATCTCAGCTTTAAGTTCTTCATGATTTAGAAACCAACAAAAGTATACTGCAAATATTATAATACATAAACTTTAGACAGTCAAATTTGTACATGTCGTTTGCAAAACTAATAACTACCATACATGGTGATACTTTGAATCCATGTGTCCGTAAGAACTCAAACGCTAGAGCATCTTTCTGAAGCTGCAAAGCACTCATATTCTATGCTTTCACCCGTATATCTTTCTCCTTGTTATATTTCCTGTAAAATGAAATAAAAATTAATACATACACAATAGTAATTCAGTCCAACTATAGAAACTATTCAAATGGGTTTTATTTACCTATAAACTTGTGTCAAAAGCACTTCAATCTCTCTTACAAAGTACTGTCCCAATCCAAACCTATGTAATTGGTTAGCAATGCATAACTTTATATGGTCCTCATCCATTGGATATGATTGTGGAACTTCTTTTGGACATCTTTGTGCCAAGGAGCGTAAATAAGCTAGGCATTTTTTGTTTCCATAATCTATGAATGCTTTTGCGGTGGCCGAGGGAGATTGAAACAACGAACCATCTTCACTCAAATTTTTACATATATCTTTTTCATTAACATATGTTGGAGGCAGAGCTTCAAGATATGAAAGTAATGGAGGGTAACTATGAAAATTCTGATCAACTTTTTCCCTACATATTCATGCAAAGATAAAAAATTTACAACAAATATTTATATATATAGGACATGATAGGATGAAATGAAAAAGTGTGTAGTACTTGTTAAGAAAGCATTTGCGACGGTTAATAATAAATGAAATGGTGTCCCTTGATGACTGTGGGAAGAGGAAATGTAAACAACCTATATGAGAAAGTTCAATCATTGATGGGAGAACAATAGCTAGCCACCGAGGACATGAATTGTTACATAAGTTTACCTTTTCCACCGCACTTCCTGCATCCCCCTGAACTGTGTCTCCCGCAACAACCCTCCACTCCACCAGCTTTTGCAAAGACGCAACTGTCATCATCGCCTTCGGCAGATTGCGCAAACCCAAGATCGCACGACATCACCGACAACTCAACCACGACACAAAACCCACACCTCTGGGACTCAATCTCTCATCCGCGACACCATCTCCAAGTGCCATTGATACCGAACCCACTGCGAAGCCCCATCTATTCATCACATAGCCACACCCAAGGCCACCAGAATCTGGATAGGAGGACAACACCGTCGCTGAATCGGGTTTTGATCTAGGGTTCATTATGTTGTTGTTGTTTTTGGTGTGAGGTAAGAGAGACAAAAGATGAGGGAGAGAACACGAAGAAAAAATGTGGAAGGGAATAATGAAATTTTTTTTAATATATATATATATATATAAGTTTTAGAGAAATATTAATAATGTGTTAGAAAAATTCCTGTTTAATTTAAATATATATAAGTTTTAGACTAATATATATATATATATATATATATATATATATATATATATATATATATATATATATATATATATATATATATATATATATATATATATATATATATATATATATATATATATATATATATATATATATATATATATATATATATATATATATATATATATATATATATATATATATATATATATATATATATATATATATATATATATATATATATATATATATATATATATATATATATATATATATATATATATATATATATATATAATTTTTTATTTTCTGTTTAATTGAAATTTTATATTTTTAAATTCGTGTGTTAGAAAAATATTTTTTTTTTAAATATATTAATAATGTTTAGAGAAAAATATTTGTTTTTTAGTGTATAAGTTTTGGAGGGAAGATTGCCACCAAAAATTTGATAATTCTAAAAAAATTTATACAACATTTCAGAAATGTAGCCTTTTATTAGAACTAATGTAACAATCTAAAAATGTCCCCAAAAATATTTTAGGGGACAATTGTCAAACATTGCTAAAGAAATAATATTTTAACGCTCTAAAATCGTCCCCAAAAGCAGTTAAGGGCACAATTAACAACCGTTGGCAAAAAAATAAAAGAGTATCGCTCCATAAACGTCCCCAAAAGTATTTTAGGCGACGATTATGAAGGGTTGCAAACATATTTTTGACAACAATCGTAAATCGTTGCCTATATGAATTTAAGGCAAAAATTTCTACATGTTACCTAAAAAAGTGTTGCCAGAGACAACAAATGTTGTAGTCTTATTTTCTTATATTAGCAACGGTTCAGGCCGACGCTACTCTTTTGTTCTAAAAATTTCATTTTCCCCCATGAATTTCGTTTGGCTAATTTAAACTTATTGTTTTAATTAATTCTTAATTTTATATTAAAAACTAGTACATTAATAGCTCTTTTAAATTGCTATTAAACAAAATCATTTACATTAGCGGCATGGTTAATAGTGCTTTTCAGCGCTATGAAAAACAAAATATAGTCATATTAAATAATTTTTAGGGCACATTATCTGTTGCTCTATTTTCTCTTTTACAGTTTGTTTACCCTTTGGTACATAAGAGATCACTCTTCTTGGTCTTTATTAGAATCTTCATAAGAGGAGCATACACCTAACTAGTCCTTTTCCTCCATTTCACTGCAAAAGTATATAAACCGAACAAAACTAAAATTCATGAGTGAAGGTGAGCATTCGATTGATAACTTATACAGCATGCTTCCTAGGACAAAGAACATAGGGACATGCATTTAATCATTCCTTCTTGACTACTCAGTGCACATGTCCTTCGCGTGCATTTGTTATGAAAATGTTTTGAAAATTCTTTGATTTCGAGAAAATTACTTAGTGTTGACCAAGCGTTTATTTGGACCGCCACTACTGTTTGTGCGAAAATTTCATTACCCCCACCAATTTAGTTTTCCTTCTTTTTTAGTTATTCTTTTAGAAAATTATTTATTTTTTTAAATTAGGGACGGTTCAGGCCGACGCTATTGTTTATGAAAAAATATTCATTTCCCGTAACAAATTTCGTTTCCCTCCTTTTTAGTTATTCTCTTAATTAATTATTATTTTCTTATATTAGCAACAATTCAGGCCTAGGCTACTGTTTGTGCTAAAATTTCATTACCCCCACCAATTTAGTTTGCCTCCTTTTTAGTAATTTTTTTAAATAATTATTTAGTTTTTTATATTAGCGACGGTTCAGGCCAACGCTATTGTTTATGAAAAAATATTCATTTCCCATAAAAAAATTTGTTTGCCTACTTATTAGTTAGTGTATTAATTAATTCTTATTTTCTTATATTAGCAACGGTTCAGGCCGACGCTACTGTTTTGTTCTAAAATTTTCCTTTTCCCCCATAAATTTCGTTTGGATCCTTTAAACTTATTGTTTTAATTAATTCTAAATTTTATATTAAAAACTAGTACATTAATAGCTCTTTTAAATTGCTATTAAACAAAATCGTTTACATTAGCGGCATGGTTAATAGTGCTTTACAACGCTATCAAAAACAAAATATAGTCCTATTAAATAATTTTTATGGAACATTATATGTTGCTCTATTTTATCTTTTATAGTTTGTTTACCCTTTTGTACATAAGAGATCACTCTTCTTGGTCTTTATTAGAATCTTCATAAGAGGAGCATACGCCTAACTAGTCCTTTTCCTCCATTTTTCTGCAAAAGTATAGAACACGAATAAAACTAAAGTTCATGAGTGAAGGTGAGCATTCGAATGATAACTTATACAACATGCTTCCTAGGAGTAAGAACATAGGGACTTACATTTAATCATTCCTTCTTGACTACTTAGTGCACGTGTCCTTCGAGTGCATTTGTTATGAAAATGTTTTGAAATTCTTTGATTTCGAGAAAAATACTTAGTGTTGACCAATCGTTTATTTGGACAGACGCTACTGTTTGTGCAAAAATTTCATTACCCCCACCAATTTTGTTTTCCTTCTTTTTATTTATTATTTTAAATAATTATTTATTTTTTATATTATGGACGGTTCAGGTCGACACTATTGTTTATGAAAAAATATTCATTTCCCGTAACAAATTCCATTTCCCTCCTTTTTAGTTATTGTGTTAATTAATTATTATTTTCTTATATTAGCAACAATTCAGGCCGAGGCTACTGTTTATGTGAAAATATCATTACCCGCACCAATTTAGTTTGCCTCCTTTTTATTTATTTTTTTAAATAATTATTTATTTTTTTATATTAGCGATGGTTCAGGCCAAAGCTCTTGTTTATGTAAAAATATTCATTTCCCATAAAAAAAATTTGTTTTCCTACTTATTAGTTAGTGTATTAATTTATTCTTATTTTCTTATATTAGCAACGGTTCAAGAAGACGTTACTCTTTTGTTCTAAAATTTTCATTTTCCCCCATGAATTTCGTTTGGCTCCTTTAAACTTATTGTTTTAATTAATTCATAATTTTATATTAAAAACTAGTACATTAATAGCTCTTTTAAATTGCTATTAAACAAAACCGTTTACATTAGCGACATGGTTAATAGTGCTTTTCAGCGCTATCAAAAACAAAATATAGTCCTATTAAATAATTTTTATGGCACATTATCTATTGCTTTATTTCCTCTTTTATAGTTTGTTTACCCTTTTGTACATAAGAGATCACTCTTCTTTGTCTTTATTAGAATCTTCCTAAGAGGAGCATACACCTAACTAGTCCTTTTCCTCCATTTCACTGCAAAAGTATATAACACGAATAAAACTAAAGTTCATGAGTGAAGGTGAGCATTCGAATGATAACTTATACAGCATGCTTCCAAGGACTAAGAACATAGGGACATACATTTAATCATTCCTTCTTGACTACTTAGTGCACGTGTCCTTCGCGTGCATTTGTTATGAAAATGTATTGAAAATTCTTTGATTTCGAGAAAAATACTTAGTGTTGACCAAGCGTTTATTTGTACCACCGCTATTGTTTGTGCGAAAATTTCATTACCCCCACCAATTTAGTTTTCCTTCTTTTTTAGTTATTCTTTTAAATAATTATTTATTTTTTTATATTAGGGACGGTTCAAGGCGACGCTATTGTTTATGAAAAAATATTCATTTCCCGTAACAAATTTCGTTTCCCTCCTTTTTAGTTATTGTCTTAATTAATTATTATTTTCTTATATTAGCAACAATTCAGGCCTAGGCTACTGTTTATGCGAAAATTTCATTACCCCCACCTATTTAGTTTGCCTCCATTTTAGTTATTTTAAAAATAATTATTTATTTTTTTATATTAGCGACGGTTCAGGCCAACACTATTGTTTATGAAAAAATATTCATTCCCATAAAAAAATTTGTTTGCCTACTTATTAGTTAGTGTATTAATTAATTATAATTTTCTTATATTAGCAACGGTTCAGGCCGACGCTACTCTTTTGTTCTAAAAAATTCATTTTCCCCCATGAATTTCGTTTGGCTACTTTAAACTTATTGTTTTAATTAATTCTTAATTTTATATTAAAAACTAGTACATTAATAGCTCTTTTAAATTGCTATTAAACAAAATCGTTTACAATAGCGGCATGGTTAATAGTGCTTTTCAGCGCTATGAAAAACAAAATATAGTCCTATTAAATAATTTTTATGGCACATTATTTGTTCCTCTATTTTCTCTTTTACAGTTTGTTTACCCTTTGGTACATAAGAGATCACTCTTCTTGGTCTTTATTAGAATCTTCAAAAGAGGAGCATATGCCTAACTCGTCCTTTTCCTCCATTTCACTGCAAAAGTATATAACACGAATAAAACTAAAGTTCATGAGTGAAGGTGAACATTTGAATGATAACTTATACAGAATGCTTCCTAAGACAAAGAACATAGGGACATACATTTAATCATTCCTTCTTGACTACTTAGTGCACATGTCCTTCGCGTGCATTTGTTATGAAAATGTTTTGAAAATTCTTTGATTTCGAGAAAAATACTTAGTGTTGACCAATCGTTTATTTGGACCGCCGCTACTGTTTGTGCGAAAATTTCATTACCCCCACCAATTTAGTTTTCCTTCTTTTTTAGTTATTCTTTTAAATAATTATTTATTTTTTTTATATTAGGGATGGTTTAGGCCGACCCTATTGTTTATGAAAAAATATTCATTTCCCGTAACAAATTCTGTTTCCCTCCTTTTTAGTTATTGTCCTAATTAATTATTATTTTCTTATATTAGCAGCAATTCAGGCCTAGGATACTGTTTGTGCGAAAATTTAATTATCCCCACCAATTTAGTTTGCCTCCTTT